GAACCAACTTGACAAAGATAGAACCCCCCCATTCAATAAGGGGGGGGGGGGGATGGGCTGCAGGGTCCCTCACTGGGTGAGGTTGGGAGGACGGGCGACCCTTTCGGCCCAGGCGCCGCCGCCGCGCCGGCTGCCGCCCGCAGCGGCGCCTTGTGTCGCTCCGCCTCGAGGCCGCTTCTGCCGCGCCTCCGGCGGAGGCTCGCCGCCAAGCTCGTCGCTCGACTCGTACGACGCGGGCGAGGGCGGCGCCACCGCCGCAAGCACATTGATATCAGAGGAGGCGGGCGCCGCAGCGCCGCCGGGCGGCTGCAGCGCCTTTGCGCTCTTCCGCTCCTTCTGGCGCATGTTCTGGTGCCAAATCTGGACCTGCATGCGCCGCAGGGAGAGGCGACTCACAGGGTGCTATTAGGGAGCAGGGCTGGCGCCGAGGCGACGCGGGCTCCTGGCGCGGTGACACTCCGAGACGGTTTGCAAGGTCGGTGCGGGTCGACATCGATGGGAACTTGTCCAGGGCGTAGCTCATGTGGAGGACGGAGAGCTGCGCCGGCGTGGGCGCCCATCGCCCGTGCGGCTGCGTAAAGTGCTGCGACTGTGGCATCGCTTTTTCGCGCGCAAAGTGCTGCGACCGTCGAGTCCCCGCCTTTGACGTGAGGAGCGGCGGGCGGAGGGGCGGGAGCGTCGAGGAAGGCCCAGCAGTGTATGCTGTGGCTGAGAAGCCCGACAACAGAGATGAAGCCAGCTCCTTTTCTTTTTTCAAGGCTCCGGTGTGTGTGCCAGTCCGCGCCAGTCCGCGCCCTTGTCGTGCCAGTGTGCTGTGACACGCGGCATTGCGGTCGCGCTGGTCACCCAGGGAGGTGAGAGAGAGATTTTAGAAAACCAACAAGAAATAACGACCCTCACAGTGATTTGGGCTCGGCAGCTTAGGTGTATTGTTGGCAAACAAGACACAGAGCTCACACAGAATCACAGCGGGAGGAAAGCGGCGAGTCGCAATTCCTGGGGTCCTTGTGGCGGGCCACCCTGTCCAGAGGCGGAGGTGCCTTTCTGGGATCTTGCGATCGAGTCTATGCGTCCTCGGCCACGCTCTCCTTTCGTGGCTGATAAGCATTCGCAGACCTGGGCTCGGCAGCTTGTCAGCCCTCAGCCGAAGCTGGGGCCGGTCCCGTAGCTTCTTCTTGGGAGGTGTGGGACCAAAAAAACAGAAATTCGTGCCCCGTTTGGCCGGTCCCGTTCGCGTCCCGTGCCCCCGAGTTCATTTAAATAATTAAAAACCAAAAGAATTCGTCATTTTACGTGCGTTCTGTCCCCTTGCCGGCCAAAAGCCATGTTCACTCGCGCCCCACGGCGACGACTGCCGGCGTCGCTCGCTGCTGCCCTCGCTCTGCTTGGCCTCCTGCTCTTCTCGCAACCAGAAAGTTACGTGGTTGCGTGCCCATAACGCGCAGGTGAGTTTGGCATGGGCATGAGTGTAGGTTCGCCTTCTTTCATATTGCCTTTTTTGACGAGCGGGGGCCAGGGAGGGAGACAAGAATCAAGAGTAAAAACCCGGGAGACAAAAGGGGGAACTCGAGCACAAGGAGAGAAAACAGATATGGGAAAACGCGTGCGCGGCACGCGTCGGATCACCGCCACCACACACAGAAAACATCTCTCTCCACAGGGAAAGGAAAGAAAGTAAGGAAAACGACAACCCAAAGAAAGGGAGGGATGGGAGGACCAGGACGCCGCCACCACACACAGGGATTTTAAGGAAATGAGACCCAGAAAAGAGCCATCAACAACAAACCTACATCTCCAGGAGAGAAAAAGAAAAACAGACAAACCAAGGCGCAAGGGAGGGATGGGAGGACGGCATCCCGATTCGCTCGCCTTTTTTCGGAGCTGGAGCGGAGTTCAGCAGGCGCTTCGGCGGTGAACGAGCTTGGCGGTCTGGGCCTCTCCCATGCTGCCTTCATTTTTCGCGTTGACGCTCATCACTCCGCCTCACAGCATGCCGCCGGTCGCTGTTCACCGCTCGGCTGCCCTCACCTTTGCTCCGGCTTCTCGCACCGTGCTGCGTGTCTTTCCGACGACGACCGTCGCAGGGCTCGGTCCCTCCACCATCGGACTGGGGGTGCCTCGCGCCAACCGAGCCAACCCTGCTAACGGCGGGAACGCCGAAGGCAACTGGTGGACGCCATCGTCGGCTCTGGACACGGACTGTGACGGCAATCCGGTCACTGCGACGACAAAGCTCTCGCGCGATTGCATCTACCAGAAGAAGGTGGCGGAGATCAGGGACCGGCAGGCCATCTCGCAGGAGAACGCGGGCTACAAGGTGGAGCGGTTGGAGCAGATCTCTGTGCGGGCGGAGCGCAAAGCCGCAGAGAAGGCAGCGCGTGCGGCAGCAGACAAAGCTCGTTTCGACAAGTATGCGCAGAGAAGATAGGGCGCTGCGAGCGCATCCACGCCTGTGATAGCCGGACCGGACCGGTGCCGGTCGTCTCGTGTCGATACCTGCACACGCATACTCACGCACCTTCTTCGGGCGGGTTGTGGCCTGTGCGTCGTGCTTCGGCTCGGCCTTGTGAATGTGCCCCGTCGTCGGAGATTTTTGAAATGAAAAAAAGGTTTTACTTCACGGAGCTATCCGACTTCTAATGGAGGAGGTCCAAGTCGCGGGGCCCATGAACGCACGCTCCAGTCTCTAGACTCTAGCTAGCGCCTGCATGCTCTATCTGTGAACAGGCGAGGACGAACGACGAACGTGGAACGAAGACTTCGATTCGATTTTTCGAAGATCCCGCACAAGTCACAAGAAGCTCTTACCGAAAACAAGAAGCAAGATGCGCTACATCGTGACACGTGAGTCGGTGGAGGAGCAACGATAGACCGTTTGGTAATAACTGGTACGGCTCTGAAATAAAAACATGGGCTTGCCCATCCCGGAGTGGTTCGACCCCACGCAAGCCCGGAGGGGTGATGGGATGCTGTCTCGGCGGTCTCAGGCCCAGTGAGGTAGTGCGCCAGACTATCCCAGATCCTGCCGAACAAGCTCCTCTTGTAGCTCGATCGGTCACACCGCCATCGCCGTTGGGGAGAGAGGGGACGATACTGCTTCAGCAGCGTGCACCTCGATCCTGTACCGTGTTTGTTATGACCCCCCCCAATGAACACACCAGTGAGGGAGGGCGAGACGATCGAGGGGTCCCGTACCATGCGGAATCGACCCTATCCAGTGCTCAAGTGCTCACGAAGGCGAAATCAAAAAAAGAAAAGCGAACCGTCCTCCAGTGCTCAAGTACGGCTCTCGTGTTCAGTTGAAGGACGGACGCTGCCGCGCTCGCAACTACATTGTAGTCTTTCACGAAGCCGCGACGGCTTCCCTAGTCTCCACAGTACATGCAATCGCTGCTCCGCTCCCGCTACCCCTCGACCTGCGAGCCTGCTGAGGATCCCGCCATCGCAAACATCGTGGACACCGCCCGTTACCCAATTCATGAGCTCGACGGCACACAGGCAGCGGCCACAATCGCAAAGGCGCGAGCGGCGTGGGAGACGTATGGAGAGGTATCCTTGCCTGGTTTCATACGCGCGGACGTGCGAGCGCTCCTTGCCGACGAAGTGTCCGGCCTGCCGGCGCACAACCGCCGGTACACCGCGCCCTACCTGGCGAGGAAGAGCCTCGGCAGCAACGCAAGCCTCGACCCGGAACACCCGCTCAGGAGGTTGTTTCAGAGCGACATCCATGCCGTCGCCGGCGACCAAATACCAAACGCCACGCTGTTGAGGCGAGTCTACGACTCGCCCGCGGTGGCCGCCTTTTTTGCACGCGTGATTAGGCGCGGCCGCCTCTACCACTATGCCGACGGCTTGCAGCAGCTGAATGTGATGTATCTGCTCGATCGTGGTGGCAGGTTGCTCTTTCTACCTCTGCCCCTCTGGCCATGCGGGCTCGATGCTGCTTGATGGATTGGGTAGGTCCTGGCACTATGATGGATCCGACTTTGTCGCGACGCTGATGGTGCAGCAGGCGGATGAGGGAGGCGACTTTGATTTCGCGCCCTTTATTCGCACGAGGTGCGGCGGCGGGGGAGGGGACGCGGAGAACTTTGCACGGGTCCGGGAGCTCTTCGATGGCGCATACGCTGGCCGCCGCACCACCCGCGCCGAGGCGGGAACCGTCCAGCTCTTCAATGGGTCCGCCGCCCACACTGCCCCCGCCGGGCCTTGCACTCTCAAAACCGCGTGGTGTTCCCCTCACTTTCGTAGGTGTCGCTCGCTCCACCGCGTCCGAACAGCCTTCGGGCCCACCGCGCGCATCACCGCGGTGTGCATCCCGCCCGCTATCGCAACAGGTTGAGCCTCTCTCGCGCAGTTACAGCGCCGGACTTTCCCCTCAGGTCCTGTCCTACGACTCCAACCCGCCCTGCGCGCAGCAGCTACCCTCGCTCGAGGCTAATGTGCGAAACTACGGCGAGCGCGTGCGCGACTCTGCCGTGTGGCTGCGCGCGCAGGAGGAGCGGCGCCGGCTGTGCGCGGGAGTGGAGTCGCCGCCGCCGTTTGAGACGGAGGGGTGATCGGAGGCGAGAGGCCACTCGAGGCCACCTTGACACCACCGTTTTAGTTATTTATTTGACAAAGTACTCTTGCGTGGTGTTTTCTGTCGCTGTCTGGCCACCAGTGAAAAAACTCGGACCCACGAAGACAAGGAGCGCGCGCCAATGGCCGCCTCCGTGACACTCCCACCTCCTGGGCCGGCGCGGGAGTTTTACTGCCGAGTTTCTCCCGGCCGGCCGCCTCCTGACACGCCCACTGACCGAGCCCATCGAAAAAAATTCGGCGCGCCGCACTGCTCTGACCCCTGCTCGCCCCTGCTCGCCCCTGCTCGCCACTGTCGCCTCGGTTGCCGAGGCTGCCGCGCACCCGCGCGCTACGCGACTACGAACTGCACCAGCTGGGCTCGAACCAACGACCAAAACGTCCCCGACCCGAACGCTGCACCAACTAGGCCACACCGCAGGCTCGATATGCAATACGCACAAAACTGGCCGCTCATAAAGCACTACTCATTTGCCGAGGCCACGCGGCGCCCCTCCACAGCCAGCCTACCCTCCTATCGCGCCACTCGAAGCCCCGCGGCCGCCTCTCGCCTACCGCGCTGCCCTCGCCTGCCACCGCACCGCCCGCGCTCCACCCTAACCAGCTCTGCATCTCGCAACACACACTTGACAGGGACAGACCAGGCGCAGGAAAAGGGAGCGGGGCCCGAATCCAAGGGACCACCCCGTCGGGCGGAGGAGCTGTGAACTCAGGTCCAGCAGGAAGGCTGCTGGCTCCTGACTCATCCCCCAAATCCCCCACACCTTGGCGGCCTGAAACCTTACCATTCCGACACCTCACACACACCCCTCCCCTAGGGCTAAGCAGTGCGCGAGCCCACCCGACTTCAGGCGAGACGTCGACCACTCCTCGGGAATAGTTCTGTCAGTGGCTGCACTAGACGCCCACAGAGGCGCGCGGCGCGGGCAGATGACTAGGGGAGAAAAAGCGGAGAACCTAGCTCGCTGGGAGATGTGCGCAACCTAAAGACGGGAATAGGGGAGAAGTGTCAGTGTGAGGGGACCGGCGAGCAGAGCGAGCCGAAGACTGGCCGAAGAGCTGGGGCCGAATTGGCGCTGTGAACGTCGTTTGAACCGATGTTTCGGCGGGCACGTCGCACCACCCGCACTGTTGCACTGGTGGGATAGGGTCGATTCCGCCATGGCACGGGACTCCTCGATCCACGATCGTCTCGCCCTCCCTCACTAATTGCCCTCACTGGTGTGTTCATTGGGGGGGGTTATAAACAAACACGGTATGTATGTATGTATGTAGGAAGGTGAAGAACAGTCAGGCTCGGACTGGACACCAACGCGGTATGGGTGGACGCAAGACAGATGATTGATGACGACACGCACGAGCGACACACAGACACAAACAGGCTCACAAGACACACGGTACAGGATCGAGGTGTACGCTGCTGAAGCAGTGCACCTACATAGTGCGGGACCTGGGGCAGCAACCAACAACCTGGATGGGGACGGGGTGCTGCTTTACCGGCGTTCACAGCCGAGTGCGGAACAGTGTGTCCGCTGGCGAGCCGTGGGGGCAGGCGACGCCATCGTTTGTGCGTTGGCTGCCATCGTTTGTGCGTCTCATCACACATGGCCCTGCGACCGGCCGCGGCGATCTACCACCGCTTTTGCTTCGACGACTCTGGCTGGGGCCCTCTCTCGGATCTCTTCACCTCTGCGATGCTCGGCGAGGCGTCGGAGCTCGAGCGGCTGGTGGCCGACACGGCATCACCGCCGCTCGACGCGGCCGACGCACATGGAAGCACCGCGCTGCACCACGCCGCCCTCAGCTCCAGCGTCGCGGCCGTGCTCGTCCTCCTCGAGGCGGGCGCGGACGCCAGCGCTCGCGATGCAACCGGCGCGACGCCGCTGCACGTCGCGGCGTACAACGGGCGGCTAGATGCCTGCAAGCTGCTGGTGCTGCACGGCGCGAGCGTGCACGCGCGGGACGAAGGTGGCCACACGCCCCTCTACGACGCCACCTTTGAGGCGAGCAATCGCGGCGCCTGCCCTTGCGCCGCCGACAGCTCGGAGCTGCAGCGCGGCCGGACGGCCTCCTTCCTGCGGGCGGTGATGGCGATGCCTCCCCACGCGGCGCAGGCTCACGTCGCCCGCTCGTGCGAGATCGCAATCTCGGCGCGGCTGCAGGACGCCCTCGTCGACGGCGGCGCCGGCGCCTTTGCTCGGCTGCTGAGGCGGTGCCGCCGCTTCGTCGACGCACGCGACTATGACGGCTCCACCGCGCTGCACGCCGCATCAGAGGCTGGCGATGCGCGAGCGGTCCGCTTGCTTCTCGAGGCGGCGGCAGACGTGGCGGCGACGACCAACTGCGGCGAGACGGCGCTCCACTTTGCGGCGAGGGAGGGGCACATTCCTGTGGTTGCGGCGCTGCTTGAGGCCGGCGCCGACGCCCTCGCCGCCTCGCGCTCCTCGACCAATCCCGTCGACGAGGCGAGGCGCCGCTCACAGCGGACAGCGGACAGTGGCGGCGGCGGCGCCGGCGGAGAATCGGTGCTCTCCCTCCTCGAGGCGCGCCTCGCGGTCGCGCCTCCCCCAGACCACCGTCCAGGTCCTGGCGCTAAGCACCCTCGAGGCGGCGAGGGAGCTGCGCTTTGCCGCTCCATCGGAGGAGGAGGCGAAGGAGAAGTTGGCGGCGAGGAAACGGCGCTTTGCCCCCCCCGGGGGACGTTCGTCGTCCGCACGGACGAGCGGGGGCTCGGACTGGTGGCCGCCGCGCCCGTCGAGGCGGGAGGCTGCTTCGCGCGAGACACACCCGTGAGCGTGCCGGACGGCGACGGCGGCCGGCGCCCCCCGCGCTCCACCGACCCCGAGGAGCTCCTGCGGGAGCTGTCCACATCGCGTTGAACGGCGTCTCTTCACACCTGCAGCTGTGAACAGGAGCTCCTGCGGGAGCTGCTCTCGCGCCCTCGCTGGGCGGGCCTCCTCCGCGGACCACTCGCGCTGCACCACTGCGCGGAGCACCTCGAGCAGGCGGATGTCTTCTTTTGCTTCTCTACTATTCATACACCAGATATCATAATGTGCACCTTCACGCAAGCGGAGAAACAACAACAAACACTTATGGCTCTCTGATGCCCAATGCGTGCACTCGTCCCTCTCTGTATGTGTGGGTTCGTGTGTGCGGGGGCCCTCCTTGTCTCTGCCTAGACAGTGTGAGGTAACACCTACCCACCTACCTACAAGCAGGCGGAGGCAGAGGTGTCGGCGGCACCGCGTCCGCAGTGGGCCGAGGCGCTCGGGGTGACCGCCGACGGGCTAGCGAGGCTCTCGGCGGCGCTGCGTTCGAACGTGGCGAGGCTGAGCGAGGGCCTTGCCGCCGCCGGCGACGGCGACGACGACGACGACGCGCTCTACTCGACCGTGCTGCTGCCGCGCCTGCGACTCGTCAACCACGCCTGCGATCCAAACACAGAGGTGGTCTGGCTACCGGCGGCCGCCGACGCCGGCGGGTGCGGCAGCGGCTGCTACGAGCTGCGCGCGCGGCGCCGCATCGAGGGCGGCGAGGAGCTCTCTTTCAGCTACCTCGGCTTGCCCGCCACGGGCAAGCGCCGGCCGACTCGCGCCGAGCGACGCGAGCAGCTGCACGAGCGTTGGGGCTTCTGGTGCGAGTGTGCGCTGTGCGGCAGCGAGGGTGGAGACGCGGTGCGAGTGCAGGCCAGCCCCGCGTCGCGAAAGAGGGTACGGTAGAGGAGGCAACGTTTACGTTTTAACTAACTTCACACTCCACCGCGCGCAAACCCACACGCCGTGAGGTAGACACGCACTCTCATCCTTTTGCCTCCACCCCCCCGCGACCGCGGTGGGGCGGTGCCGAGCGCCCCGGCGTCCGGCCCCGTTGCCGCGCCCCGTCGTTCGGCGTTCGGGGGGCGCACGTCCCCGCTCGATCTGTTTCGCACCCATCGCTAGTACTCGGCTGTGGATGTCCGTTTTGTCTTCTAATTATTCATCAATAAATTAACGACATTATTTCATTCTTTTTGTGCAGGCGCCGCGCCATATGTGTGTTGCTCATGATCACAACAGATGTACCGTGTGCCGTGCGCCCATCGCTTATCTGCGGACATACCCCGGCGCCCTAGCAAAGCACGTCTCCGCGGCCCCGTCGCCATGGCACACTATGCGGCTCGCCGAATGATACCTCTGCGTGGGCCCCGCCGTTTGCCAGAGTTGACGGAGGCAGCGCGCACTGTTCGCAGGCAGCATGACGACCACCTCACCACCGACACCGCGCTTGAACAGCCCCCAGCGAGCCCCAGGCGCAGCCAGCGCGTACGCCTGGATCATCGACTCGTACACCTGCAGCGTCAGCGTCCACCGTTAGCTGCAACTCGTGAACTAGTCCATTCCGGGGCCCGGGAACCGAGCTCACCTCGCCAAAATATTTGCCCGAGACGGGACGCGAGCGATCGCTGCCCCACGAGCCGTTGCTCGATATCCCTTCCGGCAGCTTACCCGTGCGCTGGAACTCGCTGCACACGGCGGCAAGCACGGCTGCGTGCGGAAGATGCTGCGAGTGGCAGTGGCTGTGAGAGCACGGCACGCCCCGGCGGCAGCACGCCTGCGTTGAAAGCTCCTCTTGAGGTGAAGGAGCGCCCCGTCTCTAGCCGCAGCGATGTTGGGCTTGCGCCAGCGCGCGAACGCTCGGGAAGCGGCGCAACGGTAGCATGAAGTAGCGGAGAATGTTCTTGACCAGTCCCTCATCGTTGAGTTGGTTGGTGTGCTCGACGGCGCCCGCCTTGAGCTGCGGGTCCACACGCAGCAGCCCGCCCGAGAGGAGCAGCTCGAGCTTGCGAAAGTACACCTCCGCCATCGCGCGCGACACCTGGCGCACGTGTCAAGGTCGCGTGGGCGGACGGCGTGTGGGGGTCCAACTTAGTGCGGCGCGTCACCAGCCCGTAGCGGTCGCAGATTCCGCCGTAGTAGTCTTCGCCCTTGGTCACCCAGGCCGCCCCCGCTGAGAGCGCACTCAGAGGCGGGTGGGGCGCCAACCACTGGTTCTCCAGCCGGCTGTGCACCACGCGATCAAAGCGCACCTGTGCTGCTGCCTCGTGCCTAACAGAGGACTCCGAGTCCCTTCCTGGCGTCCCTGCCGCCCGTGGAGTTGACGCGTGAGGCCGCGCCTCCCGAGCGCGTCGATGACGCGCGAGAGGTCAAAGAGCTTGATCAGGTTGTGGTTGAAGCTGCCGTGGCTCGAAAAGACGGGTGTCAGATAGGTGTTCCACAGATTGTTGCATTTGTACGGCGATCGCGTCTTGTCCTCCCAATTCTCGACCCTCCGGCAGGTCTTGGGGAAGCGGCCGCAATCGCTCCCGCACCGCGAGCCGTGGTTGAAGGCGTGCAGCACCCGCGGCCAGTGGGCTGATCCCTCCAACACGCCCACCTGCTCCTGAAGCGAGGGCGTCTCCACCATCTCGAGCCGCGCGATGGCGCCGATGTCAGGCAGATCGGCTCGCATCGCGCTCATGCACTGAAGCGCGGGCGAGTCGGCAGCGCCCCCGTGCGAGCAGTCGGCAGCGCTTTGCCATCGCAGCGCCATGATGATACTCGCCCCGAGCGGCGCAATCAGGTTTTCGCGGATGCTCCGCCCTCCGTCCTCGAGCACCCTCGCGGCGCCGACCCACGCACCAAAGCACACCGCCACCCGAGGCGGCCTGCTCTCCTCCCGTTGGAGTGGCGAGGGATGCGAGCCGCACGCTGCGGCCGCCACGAGCTCGGCGACAAGCCGCGACGCGAGGCTCGCGTTGCAGGCGAGAGTCATCCCCGGCGCCATCAGAGCGTCCTCGAACTCGACCACGCCCAGACGCCTCTTGGTAGGCTCGAGTGCAGACGCCTCCTCTGCCAGCTGCCGGGTCCGCTCTGCAGCGGCAGTACGCCTCGGCGGCGAGCCGCACCGCTCGGAGACCGGAGGCGGCGTGGCGAGCAGCAAGCGCGTGCTCCCGCCCAGAAGTCTGGCGAGGCTAGCTGCGGCCCCCGGCGAGGCCAGCGTGGTGCCAGAGAGGAGGAGGAGCACCGTCTGTCCGCGGAGCTGGCGAGCACCGGGGAGGTGGGTCCCATTTGAAAGGACGGTCAAGCGAGAGAGCGAGAGCGTGCTGTTGAGGGCGGCGATCTCAGGCTGGCGGCTCGCGTCGCCGAGGAGGTGGATGGCGCAGTCCATCTGAGCCTTTCGCGCGCACGCGAGAACTTGTTTGAAAAAGGGACGCGCGCATGGACGAATGAGCGATAGCCCCGCGAGGTACGAGCGGGGCGGTAGCCTTTCTTCACACCGGAGTACTGGTGCATCCAGCCCTCACACACAGAGCCTGGCTCTGCTGTGAAAACGAAAGAGGACGTACGTGCGCCTACTTTCAAGACAACGCGTTCCTTACGACGTGCCTATGGCTGAGCCGCCCAATGGCGCTCGCCCACTTGCCTACCACAGCCGAGCGCCTCGCCCCCGGCTCTGGGCCCCGCGACAACGCTTCGCGCAGTCTTGACAATGGAAACCGACCGGCTCCGCTCCTGCCAGCGGGCCGTCCTGCTTCTGCGACGATTCTGACAGAAAAGTTTTGTCGGCCAAGTTGCTTCAGAGCCAACCACAGCTCGAACATGCAGCAGAGAGGGTGAAGTGAGGGTGCCAGGCGGTGCGCCTACATCGGGGCTGCCACGCGGGATCGCTTCCCGACCGTCGCGAGCACTCTGGAAATCCAGTGCCTCTCACCCTCGCACTTCTCTACGCATGTGCCCTTCACCATCCCGTGGGCCCACTGCGGGCCGGATGGAGTGGCGCAGGCTCGCATCACATGCGTGTGAGCGCAGCGGCCTCGCCGAGATACACTCTGATGCGCGGGGGTGCGGACCCGAGGACCGCCAGCCACCAACGGTGCGCTCATAAAACCACTCGCCACCACGGCTCGAGTTGGGAGAAGGGGTGCGGACCCGAGGACCGCCAGCCACCATCGGTGCGCTCACAAGACCACTCGCCACCACGGCTCGAGTTGGGAGAAGGGGTGCGGACCCGAGGACCGCCAGCCACCATCGGTGCGCTCATAAAACCACTCGCCACCACGGCTCGAGTTGGGAGAAGGGGTGCGGACCCGAGGACCGCCAGCCACCATCGGTGCGCTCACAAGACCACTCGCCACCACGGCTCGAGTTGGGAGAAGGGGTGCGGACCCGAGGACCGCCAGCCACCATCGGTGCGCTCACAAGACCACTCGCCACCACGGCTCGAGTTGGGAGAAGGGGTGCGGACCCGAGGACCGCCAGCCACCATCGGTGCGCTCACAAGACCACTCGCCACCACGGCTTGAGTCGGGAGAAGGGGTGCGGACCCGAGGACCGCCAGCCACCATCGGTGCGCTCACAAGACCACTCGCCAGGGAAGACAAGGGCGTCGAAGTGCAGCTGCTGCTGTTCGAATCGTTCGGCGGGTTCGGAAAGGGGGTCCGTGAGATCCTCAGGAAGGCGGCGGACGTACTACAGAACAAGCTGACGCGGGCCCAGTACCTCGATGAGGTGACTTGGACCACCAAGAGCTGGCTGGGGCTGCAGAAGCAGCGCATCTCAGTCGTTCTTCACACGGCAATCGCAGAGCAGATTGTGAATGAGCTTGCCTGTGGCGGGGGTGGGCGGGTGCACGGAGCTAAGTGCCTCGCCACCCTCGCAGGAGTCGCTTAGGCGGCTCCCGTGGTGTACCTGTGTTAGTGCCAGTGCGAGCCAGTCCCGTGCCCAGTCCTGTGCCCAGTGTCGTGCGAGGGAGTTTGGTTGTAAAATTCTCTTTCATCGGCGTGTGCGCCGCGGCGTCTGCTGACCCCGCCGCACGCGCCGCTGCCCCGCCGCCGGTACGATGCCTGCTTACACGCCGCCGCCGAGCAGCCTGGCGGGCCCCGCGCTGGACCAGTGCGCGCAGCTGGCGTGGCCCGAGGCGGCCGGCGCGGCGGTGATCATTCTGGCCTTTGCCACGGCGCTGCCGCCCGACTGGCTGCTCGGGCCGTCGGCCGCCAAGTTCGACTTCCCGCTGGTGCTGCTGGGGCTCGGGCAGCAGCTGGGCGGCATGGGCAACGCAGTGCGAGAGAAGTTCTACGCGGTTGCGCGCGCCGCGGCGCTGCTCCGCCGACTGGCCCCTCGCGCGGCCGTCATTGTCGTCGACGCGTGGGACACGATGGTCGTCAACGGAGTCACGGCCTCGACGGAGACGCTGCTGCGCCGCGTCAGTCGCGGCGATCGGCAGCTCCTCAGCGGCGAGTGCAACTCGTGGCCGCGGTGCTACCGCCCGCTGCTCGCCGCCGACGATGCTGGCCGCCGGTGCCTGGGTCAGCCGGGCGCCTTGTGCTTTGGTAATTCGGGCGCGTACGCGGCGAGCGCAGCGGCTCTCGTGGATGCGCTCTTGCCCGCCAGCGTGCGCGAGCTGCGCGGCGAGGGCGTGGTGCCCACGGCCGACGGCGCCGCCCAGCGCTTCGCACCGCAGGCGCGGCTCGGGGGGAGGGGGGGAGGGGGGGGGGCACTGTGGCGGGCCGGGGGGGGGGGGGGGGGTCCCTAGGGCTATAGGGGCCGATTCACCTCGCCATGGCCCGCCCTCGCAGCCTCGGGGGAGGGTGACCCTCGCGGGGAGGGGGGCCACAACCAGGGGGGGAAGGGGCGCGCCTACCTCAACCCCGGGAAGGACGGGGGCCTCGGCACCGGGTAAGGGATTCAAAAAGGCGCGGGGCTTGGGCTCTCGCTCTAAGAATGGGCGGGGGGGAACTTTACCGCGGGGGGGTCCAAGGGGTTCCAGAACTGGTTTGAGGGGGCGCACCACCCCCTCGAGGGCGTGGGGGTCAAAAGGGGGGGGGGGGGGCTTTTGGTTACCTACCGGGGGGACGAAAACTTGAAGCAGCGGCCGCTGCTCGTCCACTCCAAAGGGGCCGGGGCCAAAGGGGGGCAGGTCGCGAGCAGCCCCGTCTTCGCGCCGCTGCGCGAGCAGCTCTCGCTCGCGCGCGAGTCGCTCCTCCGCCGGCGCATCCTGCTGCTCGAGTCGCCGGCGGCGGGGCCATGCGCGCTGCGCTCGCTCGGCCACGCCCTCGACTCGGCGCGCCGGTCGTGTCTCGCGCAGTCGGCTTGCCGGAAGAAGTTCAATCTCGCGCCCGCCGCCTCGCCCCATGCACAAATTCCGTAAACGTTTCCAAACTAACACCCGCTCGTACCTCAGTCCAGGTCGACATCCGGATCCGCGAGCTCGGGGACGGATGCACGTCGTCGGTCGTGTCCCGAGGCGATTCTTGGTATGTCATTCTAAAAATCTCGTCATCATCGATAACAAGCGTTTTGCTTTGCTGCCGCTTTTTGCATGCTATCCATAACTCCAAGTTTAACTCGCCACTTTTCGCGTACTCGCGCTGACCTTGCGTTCGCAAGGTGGTTTTTCCTTCACGAAATTGCAACAAAAAAACAAAAAACGAAATCAAGCTCTGGACGCCCCTCCTCAAGACCTCCTCGACGGGCGTTGGCACCGCCTCGAGCGGCGGCACGCCCGCCTCCGTTGGCCACTCCTACGCCTTCGGCAACACCGAAGAGAAGGCCCGCCGCCTAAACATGGGCTGCAAGGCGCGCGGGCAGCCCAGCCAACCCTTCTCCCACAAGACCGGCCACGGCTACGTCAAGGCGCATCGCGGTTTTTACCATGATGCGATCTTTGTCAAGCGCAACAACTTCAACCTGCTGCTCCACGAGACGTTCGGCGGCGGCTTCTCGCCCACCGCCGTTCTCAAGCTGCGCCGCCTCGCGCGCAAAGTCGCGCGCGGCAGCGTTGACCGCACGGCCTACTCGCCCAAGTATTCGCTCTCTTTTATGTCCCACCATGCAGAGCGCATCTCTCTCTCTGTTGTGCGAGGCGTGAACCGCGCCATACCGTAGGGTACCGAACTTAAGGTAAGGTAGCTTGAGTTAGGGAGCCCTTTTCCTCTTACCGAACTCCTGTTGTAATGTACCTAACTCCTGCTACCCACCTCTCGGTCCAGCCGGACCGGCACACGGGCCACGCGGCCGGCACACCACTCTGAGGCATCGCTCCCTCCTACGCTACGACCTACGAGCACCACGCTCGAGTACGAGTGCCTACGCTACTAGATGCCCTACTCCTCCTCCTCCTCCTCCCCCCCCCCCCCCCTCGTACCAGCGAGGGCCGAGGGGGCCCGTCGCAGGTACCCAAAAAGAAATCCCAGTACCTAACTGCCGCTACCCCGTACCTAACTCAGTGCAAAGCACCTAACCTAACTCAAGCTACCTTACCTTAAGTTCGGTACCCTACGGTATTGAGAGCGAATGGCGCGCCCTCTCTGAGTGAGGCAGGCTGCCCTGCACAGCCTGCTGGGCACTCTCCCGACGAGCGGCACGCCACGCGGGCCCGCCGCGGGCGACGCGGGCGGCGAGCCGTAAGAGCAGCGAGCCAGAAGATACTGTCCAAGGTGTAGTGAGCACGCCGCCGTCGAGCAGCGCGCCGCGCGAGCCCGCCGCCGGCGACGCGATCACAGAGAGCCGGCAGGTCACTCCCAGAGGGCCAGGCGAGGCCCCACACAATGTTGAGAATGTGCCCTGGAGCCGCGCGAGCGTCCGGTGAGCCTCCGCACCAAGCGCGCGGCCGCCGGGCGCATTCGCGGCGGCAGCGGCCGGGGGCGGAGCGCGTGCATAGACCGTTGTTATGGCGCGGAAACAAATTGGCGCGGCGCTCCGCCTTCTGCCTCTCCGCCGCCCGCTCGCGGCGCGTGCGGCGACCCCGCGCGTGCGCCACGTGAGCCCGCAGCCCTGCTCTCTCCTACCACGAAGTCGCCCATGCACCTCAGGCCTCAGGAGCCCGCCCGCCCGGCCGGAGCAGCCCCCACGCGTCGCCGCAAGGCCGCTCGAATTGGCCGCCCTCCGTCCCCCTCACAATCCTTCCCGCTCGCCCCCCCCCGCCCCCCCCTCCTCGACTGCACTCCCTTTTTACCTACATAAAATAACTTTTAGAAGAAAGCTCCCTCTCACGACACTGGGCACGGGACTGAAAATAAGAAAAGAAGTGCTCCGGCCTCCGCGCCCTAAGAAGCACAAGGACGCACCGAGAGCGAGACGCAGCCCGTCAGCTGTCATTCTTCTCAAACCCGATTGCCACGAAGCCCTTGGCCTTTGGGTCGGAGCGCACGCCGTCGATGACCGCCATCTCGCCAGCCGTCAGCTCGAAGCTGTACGCCGCGAGGTTCTCGTCCATGTGCGCAGGATTGCTCGTGCCCGGGATGGCGACGACACCCTTCTGCAGCGCCCAGCGAAGCATCACCTGTAGTCGTAAGCGTCACCAGTCATCTTGTGAGCGGAGCTGCTCTTAGTCCTAGAAGATGTAGGATTGCGAGCGTAAGCATCACCTGCGCGACCGTCTTGCCCTTGGCGCGCGCCACCTCCTGCAGCGACTGCACGGTGAAGAGCGATGCGTGCTGCATCATGGTGCCCTGGAAGGGGCTCCATGCCGTCACGACGATGCCCTTCTTCTGGCAGTAGTCGACGACGTCCTGCTGCCAGTCGGGCACCCACGGGTTGTACTGGACCTGGTTCACGCTCACCGGCGCGAGGCCGAGCGCCTCGAGCGGCTGTATCTGCGAGATCTGGAAGTTGGACACACCCAGGTTACGGATCAGGCCCTGCGCGCGAAGCGCCGACAGCTTGACCCACGCGTTTGCGCGGCACTCGGCGGCCGTGCCGTTGGCGCACTTGCCGATCATGCCACCGATCCCCTCCGGGTGGTGCAGCAGCACCAGGTCGAGGTAGTCGAGCCCGAGCTGCTGGAGCATGAGCTTGAGCTCGACCTCTGGGCTCAAGCCCGAGAAGAAGCGAGGCCCGAGCTTGGACGTCACAAAGAGCTCAGAGCGTGGCACGCCGCGGTCGGCGGCCGCTGCGATCGCGTGGCCAATCGCCTCGTTGTTCATGTATAGGTAGGCGGCATCCAGGTGGCGCCCGCCCTTGAGCAGGTACCACAGGACCGAGCGGCTCACTGAGTGGAAGTCGTATGCCGTCGCTCGGCAGCAGAGGCCGAGGCCGAGCATGGGGAAGTTGTCCTGCGTCCCGAGCAGCGGAACGAACTTCTCGCCGCTCGGACGCGCGGCGGGCATGAGGTTGGCAGGCACCCGCGGCGTCGGCGTGCGGTCCTCCCACCATGAGTCGCCCACGATGGTCGCAGGCAGATAGCCGCCGGCGAGCGGGATGATCGTTGCAAAGGCACGGCCCTCCGGGATGTGCGCTTGCGAGAAGAAGCCGATGAGGATTGCCGCGAGCGCAAAGGCGAGCGCGCACGGGTAGAGGCAGAAGATGCGCAGCAGCTTCATGTCATGTGAGAGCTCTGATGTACTCGATGGGGGCCCCGGAGGCTGTGAATAACGGTTATCGATCAACACTTTCGATAGAGAGAGAGAGAGAGAGAGAGAGGGGCAGTAGGTGGGCGGGCTTCAAGCGCGCTCATCTCGAACGACAAGGCGTCGCTACGCGCGGTCTTCCGCGGGGGGAGCTTCGTCGACGGGTGCGGGAGCGCAGCGCAGACAGTGCTGCGGCGATGCCTCCGGCTGTTTGCGGCGGGCGGCTTGCTGCTCGCGGTGATGGCGAAAAACTCGTCTCGTGGCACACCAAGGGCTTATGCTCTGTCGAGACGTGAGGCGTATGCGCCCAGGAGGGGAGGGCGCATGCGTAACGACGCTGCTAGAGATGCCTTTCGGGGCCCAGAGATAAAACTTCTGATGCCATGCGTGACCTAGTAGTGTCCCCAGCTATGGGCGTGTCCACGTTGGAGCCAGGTGTGGTGTGGACGCGAGAATAGCTCCGCCGTTCATGGAGGCAACCGATGCGAGTCGACTGGTGTGTGTCGTCGTGGTTTCGTATCAAGAATTCTCTCTCTCTCTCACTTTCGATAGACCGAAAGTAAGATCGTGTTCGGTGCAGAAACCCCGGCCATGCCCATGTAACGCAATTGTGCTCGATTTTTTGGTCGAGAAGTGTCTCCAAGTCTTCTGGACCCATCGGCCGTCGCCTCGACGCCGCTCGTCGCGTCTCCGGCCGCGGCGGCCGAAAACGGGGGTCTCCTTTACGGTCCTTTAACGAAGTGATGCACTTGATGCAAGGGTGCCATTGTGCTCTACTACAAAAGTTGTGTAAGATGCCCAAGTCTCAGACACTGAATCCTTAGCGGAGCTGAGTTCTGACGGTGTGAACACGAGCAACCGGAGTGACGACCGGGACCGGGCCGCACGCCGGGAGTGCCCCGACTAGCAGTGACGGGCGCGGACAAGCGAATGAGAGGTCGCTATCTGTGGGAGATGTGTTATTAGAGACTAGGACTGCCTATCTCTCACTGAAAGGGACCTCTCATTCGCTCGTCCGCACCCGTCACCGCTCACGGAGTGCTCCGCGTGCCGCACCGGCCGCCGCCGGCCGCCGGCCGCTCACCTACTCCGCAACGTTGAGCTGGATCAAACTGAATAGTGCTCCTGAAAGCCCTCTCTACCACACAGTAGCAGCTCACGCACCGCTGCTGGGACTGGAGGTGCTGCCCGTCCCGGCCTGCACACAAAGGAGAATTGCACGCAGCATGGGGTGCTTCGGGCGCTTGCTTGCGGCTTGGGGGGTGCGACGATTAACAAGGCAGTCCGTGCCCCGAACACGAATACAAAACTCGAGAAATTAACAAACTAAGCCGGAAATTTTACGACAAAACTCCCTCGCACAACGCTGCAACAACACAACGCTGGGCACGCGGGACAATGGGAATTCCCCACCCTTGTCCCGGACAAGAGAGCGACCCGCGCTCGCTTGCTCGCCCGCCAATCGCCGCCCGGCTCCAGTCCGAGTGCCGAGGACGCGAGAGAGCGTGCCGTTGCTGTAGGAATTTGGAGTTTTTTGGTTATTATGTTTCAACACGGCGGCGCCTGGTTGTTGCACGTTAGTCGGCTCGCCGGGCTTTGGCAAATGTTCGGCTCGCCAAAGGGCAAGTTCTGCTCGTCAAAGCTGCTGTGCGTCATCTTCACCGTGGTCTTCAGCCCTGCGCTCATCGGAGCCACGCCTGCGTGGACCGCGTCACACCAATCCTCGCTACCCGACGCGGACAAAGGATATCAACCTCGAGAACCTCGAAAGGGAGGAGCCACCGACTTGCGTCTATGGCGATGCAAGCCACGCGTCCCAAACGACCATGTCCCGTTTCTGATCTACTTGCTCGGTTCAGAAGGCCAGGGACTGGGACATCGAATTTTCGAGTTTGTGGGCGATGCAGACGTCGGCGAGATCTTTCTCGTGCTGCACGAGGGGGTTCCGCTGCAGAGTCTGCGCGGCGAAGTGGGTTCGCGACCCTGCAGCCAGTCGGCGGAGTCGCTCGCGAGAAGTTTGGATTTGCGCGCGCGTGCACCGGGGCACTACTCTGGACAGTTCGTCATGGAGAAGTTGATGCTGCACGCCCATGTCCCTTCGGAGGTCGGGCGCGTCGTGCTCCTGGATGCAGATACCTTCGTCCTTCCCGGGTTCGCGGCCGCCATCGGCGAGGTGCTGAACCAAATGCACGGACGCCAGTTTGTCGCAGGCAGCACCAACGGAGCCTTCACCAGCGACAACATCAACACCGGTGTGCTTGCCGTCAACCTCAACAAGATGCGGGCGTGGGAGCGTGGCTACTGCCCGGGACATTACTGGTTCGAATGCGTGACCCGCTTCTGGAACCGGCGCGGCTCACCCCGCTACAATCGGTCGCTGCCCGGCCCGCTCATCGCCCGCCCGGGCTTTACCGATCTCACTGACCAAGGCCTGTGGTCGGCCATGCTGTTCGACGACCTGCAGCTATGGCGGCCGCTGCCGTGCAGCTTCCATCTGCACGTAGACTTGCTCCGCTCGTACATCCTCAGGAAGGAGCGCAAGCTTGGCGTGCTCGGCTGCGGCTCGAGGAGCACGTGGAAGAACCTGGTCAATGGGTCGTGCAGTCATCAAGGCTATCGGTTGAAGCGGTCACCTTTCGTCGAGTATGCGTTGGCGCACGGCGGGTGGGCCCCAGACGATGTCATGCACCCGCAGGTCTTTCACGGCGCAGCTCGCTTGCACCCGCTCGCGCGGCTTGGTGCGATGGTCGCCACGACCCGCAAGCCCGCGCAGCAGCGGGCCCTGTTGGCCCAGTTCCCTTGCCAGTGTTTTGGCCACATCAAATTTCGTGGCACCGACGGGCTGTGCATGAATTGGAACATCACGGGCGTCGCCGGCGAAAAATGCCCAGACGACCCCACCCTGGCGTGGTCAACGGAGCAAACCGCGGGGACTCCGGCGATCGTGCAGTCCTTTCTGACCTCCCTGATCCTGCCGAACCGCCACAGCCGGCGAGGCTGGAACTCGTACTACCCAGACGTGGTCGCGGCCATCCAGCAGCTCGGCGGCAGGAAGGGCGAGCCCCTGCGGATTGTCGAGGTGGGCACCGCGTTCGGAGGAAACGCCAATTACATGCTGACGTTTCTGCCGACGGCACACGTGACCGCGGTCGACCCGTTCATCGCCAATTACGACAAGTCAGACCAGACATCCCATGAGATGGTGCGCTGGCAAGCCCAGCGAGCGGCCTCGCTCCGTGCGTGGTGCGGCACGGCTTTGAGCGTGGCCGACTGCTTTTCGCGTGCATGGGCGGCGGCGATGCTCGACGATCAGCATCGTCGGCACGGCTGCCGCTACCATCTCATCTTTGCCAAGTCGCTCGATGCCGTGGGTCAGTTTGCGGATGGCTCTCTCGACGTTGCCTTCATCGATGGGCTGCACACCGCGGAAGGAGTGACTGCCGACATGGTGGCATGGTGGCCCAAGGTTGCACCCGGCGGGGCTATGATCATGAATGACTACCAGTATCCCACCTTCCCGAATTTGACGCGCGCGGTCGACGCATGGGCCTCGCAGCACGGGCTGCACCTCAAAGTGGGTAAGCGGGGCCTCGCGCCTGGCATCTGGAACGCGATGGTAGTCAGGAGAGGTAGTCAGGAGAGGTAGTTGATGGTAGTCAGGAGAGACGCTGAGATCCTGTGATGAATTTCAATGTCATAAAATCGATCGTGGTTGCTGAAAAACGGGTTTTCAGTGTGTACCTTCATTCAGCTCGTTGCACGTTGGATCTAGTTGCGTCTCATGAGACCGAGTCCGAGAACGCATTCGGTATTCGCGGGATCTAGATATTCTCTTCGCTGCGTCCTGCGAGGGAGTTTTGTTGTAAAATTCTCTTCGGGCCAGAGAGCCAGAGGGCGGCTGGCTTTAAGCGGCTTCCTCAGTCTTGGAGAGGACGAAGCACACACGAGGCTGCCAGTCTGGTTTGTCAACCCAGGCGTTTCGCATGTCACGCACACTGGCGTGAACTGTCGCTCAATGCGCCAACCTGAAGTTGAGGAGCGGACTGGAGCAAGTTACGAGAGTCGCTGTACTTATTTGGGTTGCCCCGATTGGACCGGCCCTCGTACTTCTTGTAGTTGACGTACACGGGATTGCCATCGTCCACGGAGACGACAAGGAACTGCTTGGTCGGCGCGAATTCCTCAGCTGTCTGTGCAGCAGCAACGATCTGTGCACAAGGTCATCAGCCATGTTGCTTCTGTGGGGGCGCGTCGTTTCAGAGTGATTGTGATGGTTGACGCCTGAACTTTCCTGCCTAGTGCGAGACCCTTTCGAGGCAAACACACGAGTGTGAACAGGAGCCCCGCTGAAATTTTCTCTTCGCCTGCGGCGCGCGCACTTGTCATTTTGCCCAAGTCAAACAACTCTAACACTCACACGTCATTTGGGGCCTGGAGCCCTGTTCACGCGCGCGCGAGACGTGCAGAGACAGGGTTGCCAGGTGAGAGCGAATGGCGCGGTTCACGCCTCGCACAACAGAGAGAGAGATGCGCTCTGCATGGTGGGACATGAAAGAAAGCGAGTGCTCGGGCGAGTAGGCCGTGCGGTCGACGCTGCCGCGCGCGGCTTTGCGCGCGAGGCGGCGCAGCTTGAGAACGGCGGTGGGCGAGAAGCCGCCGCCGAACGTCTCGTGGAGCAGCAGGTTGAAGTAATTGCTAAAAATCTCTCTCTCCCTTCCAAGTCTGCGGTGTTCTGGGCGGTGTGGATGGAGGTGTATGCTTCTTCCTGTCATCCCAAGTGGGTGGCAGACTGCGGACTGGCGCTTCCTTATTGTCATTTTACAATTCCTAAGATCCCGGCTGACCTGTGGGTGCTGGCCGCATGCATGATTTCTTTTGTTTGGGGGGACGCTTTGAAAGCAGGAACCCCGGCAGCGTCGCGATGTCCAGCCCCATGTCCAGCCCAGGCTCGGACGACGACCAGGCTTTCGTCTCGGCCGACGAGGCCTCGCAGGTCGGCACTCCCTCCGACGAGGCGGCAGCAGGTGGCCGGCACACCGACCCGCTCCCAGCGCCTTCGCCCCACTCCGTCTCCGAGGCGGACGTCGCGACCGGTGCTACCAGCCCCGGGGTGCGCGAGATTGTGACCTTTTTTGAGAAGGCCGCGGCAGCCCAGTCGCCGACCAGCATCTTTGACGCGGCGCGCTCGCCTCTCAAGCCGCTCGAGGGCCTCGCCGCGGCACTGCGCCTCACCGGCACTCCTCCGCCCGCGGACGCCGCCGCTGCAAGTCCGATCGCCGATGCAGCCGCCGCCGCGAGCCCTGCCGAGGCGACGCATCTTCCCGCGCCGTCACCGCCGTCTCGCGCGGAGCCTCCGAAGTCCAAGCTTCCGACGCCGCTGCCAGCAGAGCCTGTCACGCCCGGGCACACGGCTCGGACGCCGCCCTCCGCGCCGCACACCTTTGTCTCTCCTCCCGCGCCGACGCCGTCGCGCATCCCCGTCCGGCGCGGCTCAGAGTTGGTCTCGCCGCCGCTCGGGCCGTGGCGGACGCCGCCGCTCGTCAAGGAGGGTGACACCGCCGTCGTCGCTGCCGCCCCGCGGTCGATCGAGGCGGCGCCGCCGACCATGCTCACCCTGCCTGCCCTCGCGGCGCAGAGCAACAAGCGGCACCACCAGCGCCGCCCGGCCGACTCGCCGCTGCCTGAGTCGGTCGCTGGAGCAGGGGGCGTGGTTGCCAACACCGCGCCCCCGCCTGCCGACGAGGGGCAGCCCCCGGATGCCGGCGAGGGGCAGCCCCCGGATGCCGGCGAGGGGCAGCCCCGCGCCATCGAAGAGGCGAGCGGCGCACCGGCCGAGCCGGCCGAGGCCGACGCGGCCGACGCGGCCGACGCGGCGGCGGCCAAGGCGGACGTGAAGGCGGAGGAGGCGGAGGAGGCGGAGGCGGGAGCCGAGGCGGGAGCCGAGGTGGCTGAGGTGGTGGCTGTGGCGTCCACGCAAGAGGCCGCCGCCGCCTCCCCGGATCCGGGGGGCGTGACTCCGACCGCCGAGGCCGCCGAGCCGCCATCCTCCTCGCGGTCGTGGCTCAGTCCAGTGGTCGCTCCCCCTCCTCCCGCGCGGCGGAGCGCGCGGACACCGCAAGCGCCCTGCGGGCAGGAGTCGCCCCAGCCCGCGCCGGCCGCGTCGGCGGGGCCCTCTTCCGCCCCGCAGGCTGCCCCGCCGGCCTCGTCGTGGCTCCTCTCCCCGTCGGAGGCGCCCGCCCTCGTCGCGCAGCAGGCAATCCCCCCCGCCGCCAAGGCGGAGGGATGGGAGGCGGAGGGATGGGAGGCGGAGGGATGGGAGGCGGAGGGATGGGAGGCGGAGGGATGGGAGGCGGAGGACGACGAGCGGGAGGCCGAGGCGCTGTGTGACTCTGAGGCCGCGCTGCAGTCTGTGCGGGAGGGCGTGGAAGCCGCTCCTGGCGGCGAGGGTGGCGCCGTCTATTTGGTGTGCGCGCCGGAGACGTCCATCAAGGGCGCCGCCGCGCCGGTGGAAAAGGCAGCGGAAGACGGCGCCGCTGACGCCGCCGCCGCTGACGCCGCCGCCGCTGACGCCGCCGCGACTGCCGCCGCCGCCGCCGATGACTCCTCCGACGCCGACGAGGATGCCGCTGCGGACGCCTCTGCGGACGCCGACGTCGCTGCCGCCGCCCACCCGCGGCCGCCAACGCGCCGCACCTCATCTGTGATGATCCAGGCGCGCCGCGCCCACGTGCGCCACCAAGTCGCTCTCTGCCCCCCAAACCCCCCCCCCCCCCCCTACACCACCACCACCACCACCACCACCAGGCGTGGCTTGGCTCGGCACAGCCAAGCAAGCGCGGAGGCGCTGCTGCGGGGCGCAGAGAGAGCGACGCCGACGGAGCCACCGAAGAGACCTCACCAGGTGACGGGGTGCGCATCTCCACCTCCGACTCCCCGCCCGATTCCCCGCCCGAGCCGCTCGCTCGAGACGGTCCGGACGACTCGGGCGCCCTCGCCGGCATCAGCAGCCGGAGCCCGCACGCCTCGCACCCCTCCTCGCCGCCCCTCTCCTCGCCGCACCGCTCCTCGCCGCCCCTCTCCTCGCCACCCCGCTCCTCGCCGCCCCTCTCCTCGCCGCACCGCTCCTCCTCGCTCGGCATGGGGCGGCTCAGCAGCGACGCGGCGGCGGCCTCGACCGAGTCGGCAGCAGAGGGGCAGCCGGCGGCTCCACAGGCCGATCCGGAGGCGACGGAAGCGGAGGAGGAGGCGACGGCGTCCGCGGCGCCCGAGGCGGAGGAGGGGAAGGCGGGAGGCGCGACTGCAGAAGCCGACGCCGCCTCGCCGGCAGCACCACGCTCCCCGCCGCTCGCCGCTGCGCCGCCGCTCGCCGCCGCGCCGCCGCCCGCCCCGTCCCCGCTCTTTGCTGGCCGCGCTCCCGCCGTCTCGTCGCCTTCCCGAGACGCGTCGCTCCCGGCTCACCTCGCCTCCTTCCTCCTCACGCCGCGCAACAACGGAGCCGCGTCGACTGACGAGCTCGAGCCGGACGCGCGGCCGCTCATCGCCGGCCTCGCCAGCCCTCCCGCCGCGGCGCCGCGCCAACCCTGCTTAAGGCTGGCGACCTTCCTGGCGACGCCCGCCGCCGCCGAGACCGCCTCGAGGCGCGACGCAGCCCCTCCCCCCTCCACCCCCCCCCCCCCCCGTGCACCTCGCACCCCCCCCCTCCCCGTGCCCCGGCCCACTGCCCGCAGCCTCACCGCCCTCCACCAACGCCAAAAAGAAGACCCCCGCGAATAGGACTCGCAGCGTGCAGCAGTGGCTTGCCGCCACCCCGACCGCGCCGCCACCGCCGCCACCGGCACCAGAGCCGGTCGCCGCTGCCTCGAAACGTGCTGCCTCGAAGCCTGGCCTCGGCCCACCGCGCCGCAAGTCGAGCGCCGGCAAGGGCGGTCGCCCCAAGGGGGAGAGCGAGAACGAGGAGGCGAACGCCCTCATGCCCCCGCCGCCCACCCGCCGCTCCTCACGCTCCCAGCGCGCATAGCCGCCTCTCGCGTGCCTAGCTCATCTGTCACCTCGACAGCGAGAGCACCAGGCGCGTTTGGGCGGCCTGGCAGGTCCACGTGTTCCCCGCACACGCAGCAGTCGCTCATGCACCCGCTCACGCCCTCACACGCCGCGGCCCCCGCCGCCCGCTGGCGGTGGCGCCGCGCCTTCTCCCCGCTCTGCCCCCGCGCGCGCGGCGCGGCCGGGGGGGCGGTGCGCGCCCCGTTTCCACATAGTCATACGGCTTTACACGTTCTTGTGTTGGTGGAACTAAAAAGTGTGAGGGGGGGGGGTTCAATAATCGTGATTCGTGTTCGTGACCCGCATGCGCGAGAGGGGCAACGAAGGCTGGCGAGAAAACAGTGACTCAAGTATGAAGTAAGGACTAAGGTCGAAACCAGCGGGGATGCTTGCATCATGCATGGACTGGAGAGACTCGATGCTGGGCGTGCGACTGCGCCTAGACCGACTCGCGCGACTGTATACGATATCTTGGGGCTACCCCTGCGCCTGCTCTGCCTCTCGGAGGATGGATGCACCGGCCGGGCCTCCGCCACTCGTCCCTGCCGCCGCCGGTGGGTGGAGGAGCCCGCTGCCGTTGCTTCCGCCCTCGCCGCCGCCGCCGCCGCCGCCGCTCGGCGTGAAGGCCGGAGGTGGCGGAAGCAGCTCCTCCGCCCGGGGAGCTCCGCGCAGAGACAGCGCGCGGGGAGAGCGCTCGGCGGCCCGTGGCGAAACGGCGCTCGTGCTCCTCGCCTCCCTCTCAGCCCCCGCCTCCCCGCCGCCGCCGCCGCTGCCGTTGCCGCCCTTGGCCGCCGGCGGCTCGCCGCCGCTCGCGCCCCCCTGCTTTTGCTTTTGCTTCTGCTCGAGCGCCTCCTTCTCCTTCTCGCGCTTCTTCGCCTCGGCGTGTCGCTGCTGCTGCTGCTGGAAGCGCTCCGCGAGCGCCATCTGTTGCTTGTGGTACCGCTGGACCTACCAGGGCATGGGCGTGGGCTTGTCATGGGCGCGCCTCACCCGCCTGCAGCGTGCGGCGCCTCGCTCCGCCCAGAGACTCTGAGAGTGGCGTGGGCGCGCCCACCGTGTGTCACACGCAGCTATAGTGTGTCACATGCATGTATGACGTCTCGCAGGACTCGCAGTGAGATGTGGCATGTCTTTGCTCGACCACCTTCGCAAGCGTCGAGAAGTGCGTCATCCCGTCGGGAGACACGTAGGCGGTGCTGCGCCCGCGCACCTCCACCGTCCACCTGCACACACACAGGGGGGGGGGGACGACGCTGAGGTCTCCGCGGCAATACCGGTGGTCCGCGGCATCGGCGGCGGGCGTCAACACTCACGCGGGAGATATGGGGAGATATGAGGAGATATGGCGGGCGTCAACACTCACCCGGGAGATATGGGGAGATATGAGGAGATATGGGGAGATATGGGGAGATGTCAACACGCACCCGGGAGGCAGCGAGGCGGGCGTCTCGTTCGCTGTCTTCTTCTTCTCCTCCTTGCCGCCGCCCGCCGCGCCGTCGCCGCCCTCACCCTCGCCGCCACCGCCGCCGCCCCCCCCACCGCCGCCACCGCCGCCACCGCCACCACCCCCGCCGCCGCCGCCGCCGCCGCCGCCGCCGCCGCCGCCGCCCTTGGCCTTCTTCGGCGGGTGTCTGGGCGCAGCCGGCGGCGGCGCAGCGGCGGGCAGCGGATCTGGCGGAGCCGGTGGCGGCGGCTCCTGTCGCGGCTCGCCCTCCTCGGCAGCGCCGGAGCCGGAGCTGGCGGCGGCGCCTCCGCCCGTGCTGTGCCGCGCGACGGCTAGGAGCTGCTTCTTGCGCGCGCCCGGCGGCGGCGCCTCTGGCCGCGCCACCTTTGCAGGAGGAGGAGGCGGCGGCGGCGGCGGCTCCGGCTCGTCTCTGGCTGGCTCCGCGGGACGCTTGAGCGACGCCGCTCCCATCCCGCTGCTTGCCGGCCCGCCTCCGCCGCCGCCGCCACTCGGCGTGCCTGGCGTCGTGGGCGGCCGCTCCCCTCGCTCCTTGGGTGCGGGGGGCATCGCCTGCCGTCGGCACCGGTGCGTGTGAGGCGTGGGTGTCAGGCGTGCGCTTGAGGCGTGGGAGAGAGGCGTGGGGGAGAGAGCGGGGGAGGGAGAGGGAGGGAGAGAGAGGAGAGGGCGTGGGGTGTGTGTGTCCTGCGGTGGGAGCGGAGGCGGCCGGGGGCTGGACAAGGTGGGGCTGGACGAGGAGGGGCGAGGAGGAGGGGCGAGGAGGAGGGGCGAGGAGGAGGGGCGGAGGAGGGGCGGAGGAGGGGCGGAGGAGGGGCGGAGGAGGGCCCCCCCTCGCCTCTCCCGTCCCGCGCGGCATCATCATCGTGCGGAGGTCGTTCCAAGAGACGTCCTCGGTGTCCCCGTCGTCGTACTGGAGGCGGAAGCCGGTCTGCTGGTCGAACTCGATGACGGTGCCGAGGAAGGTGCCGTGCCCCTTGAACTGCTTGAACACCACCTCGCCCAGGATCTCGGACGGCTTGCGCACCGGCGGGACCGCCCTGTCGAGCTCATTCAGCCGGCCCGTCACCATCCGCGTCAGCTCGGAGCTCTGCGTCTCGAGCTCGGCGGCGCTCATCGCAGCGAGGCTCTCGAGCCATCCGCTGTCCGACCCGGCGAGCAGCGCGCCGCACCGCACCTGCAGCGGCAGCAGCAGCCGAGCGACACTCGGCAGGTCGTCGCACACACTGAGCTGCCCTTGCCAGCGGCTGCCGCACGAGTAGTCGAGGCGGGCCTCGATGCTCCTCAGCCGCTCTGCGCAGCCGCGTGCGAACTGACTCGCCTCAACCCGGCCGCCCTGCATCCCGGAGAGGTCCACGGCCTGGCGCCGCGGGGGCGCTGCTCTCACCTCAAAAAAAGAATTCGCGCTACGTTTCTTTCTTTTTCTTATGTCCGTTTGATTATTTATTTATCGCGCCCCTTTCCTCTCCCGCCATCGGCGTCACTGAGGGCCTGAGGTGCCTCACCTGCGTGCTCATACACATATAGAGGGGCTACCTTGTTGTCGCTGCGTTTGCACTCCGCCCCGTGGCAATCACTGCGCGCCCAGTCGCCGCGGCGCCTCCGGCCGCCCCCCCGCTGAGCCGCCGGGCGCCACGCGGAAGCAGTGCGCCGCCGCCGCCACCGGCCGCCCTCTCCACCCCCACCGCCTCGCGTCTGCGCCGGGGGGCGGCGGCACGTTGAGGCCCGGGTAGTCGACCTGCGGCACGCTCGCGTCCTCGGCCTCCGCCTCTCCCGCCGCGGGCGCAGCCTCTCTGTGCAGCAGCAGCGGCGGGGGTGCAGGCTCCTCGCCTCCGCTCGCGGCGGCCGCGGCGGCGGCGGCGGCCGCGGCGGCGGCGGTGCCGAGGTAGGCGGGCGGGAAGCCCATCCGTTGCATGCGGGGGAGGTACGGCGGCGGGTCGAGGGCCCCCATCCCGAGCTGCTCCCGCAGCCCGGCCGAGAGCGCTCCCGGCCGGCCCGCCGCCGTCGGCTTGTCAAAGTATCGGCCTTGGAAGGCGGGAGGGCGGCGCTGGCCCGCGGGCCGCTGCGGAGGCGGCGCCGCGGCCGGGTTGCGAGGCAGCGGGCAGTCGCGCGCGAGGTGGCCCTCGGCGCGGCAGTTGTAGCACGCCGTCGCGCTGAGCGGCGGAGGCAGCGGCAGCGGCGTCTGCATCAGCAGCGTGTAGCTAGGCCACTCAGAGGCGGAGGCGGCGGCCGCCGACTCGGCGCCGGCGGCGTCGATGCAGTACGCCTGGCAGTAGTGGACGGGCGGCGGCGGGCCCACCTCCTCCGCCCCGGCGGCGCCTGCCTCTGCGCGCCTCGCCACCATGCTCCGCAATATCTTCTCGAGCGCGCGCCGGTCGGACGCGTCCGCAGCGCCCCACGCTATGCTCGCCAGGCGCTCGGCCTGCAGCGCAGGTGGCAGGCGCAGCTCCACCTCGGTCGCCGGCGGCGGCGCGGCGGAGGCGGGGGCCGGGGCGGACGCGGGGGCGGCGGGGGCGGCGGAGGTGGCGGCGGCGGCGCTGCCGCCGTTCGGCAATGCTGTTTTGGCGGACGCGGCGGCGGCCTCGGCGCCAATGGAGCCAGCAAAGAGCGAGTCGACGTCGTCGCCGTCAAACATGTGTTTTAGGCGAGCGGCGGCGCCAGGCGTGGGCGAGGTGGAGGGCGGAGGAGGCGGTGGGCCGGGGGGTGAGTCCTCGGTAAGCGCAGGTTAGGTAGGGCGCGGGTTAGCGCGGGTTGTGCTCACTAACCCGGCACGCGTTAGCACGGGTCAGAACGGGTTATCATAACCCGACGCTAACCCGACGCGGCGGCTAACCCGACGCTAACCCGGCACTAACCCGTGCGGCTGGGGGGCATACGTCAGCAGGGGTTTGCGCCGGGTTAGGGGTGGGTTAGGGCCGGGTTAGAGCTGGTTGGCGAGATGAAACGGCTGCTGCGGCGGGCACTTCTGTTAACATATTCTGCCTTAACAGGTCGGCATGGTCTTCTGGTAACAGGCATGTTGTTGGTAACTTGATCGAATGTCGCCGAGGTCGCGGACGAGCACTCGGTGTACATCGAAAGCCTGGGCGGCCGGTACGTCTGGGACGAGGCTCGCTCGTGCTGGAAGCGGGTCGTCTACGTCGACTAGAGCACGTCCCTCCTCACTGCTCCGTGCACGCCTGACGCCCAGTCGACACACCTCCCGGTTCGCCCATGGCCTCCGCTGCAGTGGCAGTGCGGGCTGCAGGGGGCCCGGCCCTCAACGTGTGCCAGTGATGGCCCTAGGGAGGAGGAGTGAGTGCGCTGAGGGCGGTACATTATAGATCCTGTGGCATGAGACTGTCCCGCTCGCCATGCGCCCGCGGCTGTGGTGTGGCGAGTGAGTGAACGCACGAGAGAGGGGCGGTACGAGCCGTAGAGCTCTAACCCAAACCTAACCCGAGACTAACCCGAGACTAACCCGGCGCTAACCCGCGCTGCTCGGGGGCATACGTTAGGACGGGTTAGTGCCGGGTTAGCGTCGGGTTAGCGTCGGGTTATTGGAACCCGTTCTGACCCGTGCTAACCCGTGCCGGGTTAGTGTGGCTTAACCCGGTGGAACCCACGCTAACCCGCGCTTACCGAAGGACTCACGGGGGGGGGGGGGGGGCGGCGGCGTGTTGAGCGGCGGCGGCGGCGGTGTGGTGGAGGTGGAGGGCGGCGGCGGCGTGAGCGGCGGCGGCGGCGGTGTGGGCGAGGTGGAGGGCGGCGGAGTCGTGGGCGAGGTGGAGGGCGGCGGTGGCGTGAGCAGCGGCGGCGGTGGTGTGGTGGAGGTGGAGGGCGGCGGCGGCGTGAGCGGCGGCGGCGGCGGTGTGGGCGAGGTGGAGGGCGGCGGTGAAGACACACCGCGATCGGGTCCGCTCGAGGCTCTCCGCCTGGCGAGACATCGGCGCGAGCCGGCAGACGCTGCGCTGGCTCGGCGAGGGCGTGCGCGTGCCGTGGAACGAGAGGGGACCACCTCTCCCGTTCCACCACGGCGTGGGCAGCTTCTCGCCGGACGAGCGAGCGTGGCTGACGCAGGAACGCGATCGCTGTGAACGAGCACCTGGAGAAGCGCAGCTGCAAGTTCGAGTCGCTGGCGACGCTACGGCGGCTCGCGAGGCGGCACGACTTCATGTTCTCGCTCCACCTGACCGACGCCTACCACCACATCGGCGTGCAGCGAGGAGCTCGACGCCGCTCCTGGCAGGCGAGGCAGGGATCTCGGCGACGATGGAGAGCGGGCGGACGATGTCGTGGGCGACGCCCGTCCGCAGCTGACACGTCGTGGTGACGATGATGGCGAGGAGCATCACGGTGGAGAGGAGCGGTCCCGGCGCTGCTTGGGCTCGCCCGAGTTTCCGGTATAGGCACGGCGCGGCATGGGCATGGGGTTTTTTGTTGTATCAGGGCTTGGAGGTGGACCTCGCAGCACAATTTCTCGCTCTGGCCGGGCGATGAGCGGCGCCCTCATCCCACCAACAGCGCTCGCCGACCTGGCTCGGGGCGACCTGGCCTCGCTGCGCGCCGTCCTCTCCGGTCGGCGGACGCGCGGCACGCTCGACGCGCGGCACGACACCGACACGCGAGACACGCTGCTCACCTGGGCCGCTCGTTACGGGCAGGCCGAGGCGGTGCGGCTACTGCTCGACAGCGGCGCGAGCGTCGGGGCGACGAATGGTGACGACCGGTCTGCGCTGTTCATCGCGTGCCTGCAGGGCCATGGCCAGTGCGTCCGGCTGCTTCTCGAGGCGTGCGCGGCGACCGACCAGGCCGATGAGGACGGCGTCACGCCGCTGTCCATCGCGTGCGAGCATGGACACCTCGAGATCGCGCGGCTGCTCCTCGAGGCTGGCGCGGCGGTCAGCCAGGCCGAGGTGAACGGCGCCACGCCGCTGTCCTTGGCGTGCCAGGAGGGCCACCTCAAGATCGCTCGGCTGCTTCTCGAGGCCAGCGCAGCGATCGACCAGGCTGATGAGGAAGGCGCCACGCCTCTGCACGCCGCGTGCCAGGAGGGCCACGTCGAGGTCGCCAAGCTCCTCTCCTCCTACGGCGCCTCCCGCCTGAGGAGAGGAGCTCGGGCCTTCGGCACGCCCGAGGAGATTGCAAACCGCCGCGGCCACGCCGACCTTGCCGCCTGGCTGGTCGCCAGCCGCGGCTGGACGCCGCTCCAGCATCTCGAGGCGTGCCCCAAGACGAGCGGCCGAATGCGTGAGCGCTGTCCTCACGCCCCCTGCCCCTCTTCCGCAGACGCTCACCTTCGAGCGGGCGCGGGCGCTGCTGCGCGGCGGCGCCGACCTTTCAGCCGGCGTTGAACGCGGCGAGCCTTCGGCCCTCGAGCGGGCGCGCGTCCTCTGCTCGTGGAGCGAGTCGGATCCGACCGCTGCGGCAGTCGGTTCCACTGTCGCGATCCACTCTCTCGTCTCGCGGCCCTCGATGAACGGCAAGGTCGGCGTCGTCGTCTCCGCGGACGCTTCGACGGGACGCTTCGGCGTGCGCGTGGCGGGCGAGGCCAAGGCATTCGCACTGAGGCGCGCAATGCAATGGTCTCTCCCGGACCCGCTGATCCTCTCTTTGACACACCTCTGCCCTCCCTCAGGCCGGCCAACCTGCAGCCAGCGGCCGAGGCGGTGGAGGTGGGCAGGCTGGTCCTCAAGGCGGCGGAGTGGTCGCCGCAATCGCACGAGCTCTTCCCGGTGGCGGCTCGCAAGCGGGCGGTCGAGGTGATGCGGCTGGGCTACCTGATCGCTTGGGACGAGGAGCGCTTCGAGGGCCGCGAAGGAGCGGCTCCGGAGCTGGCGGACATCTGGCGCGGCTTTGTGCTGCCAAGGGTGGCGGTGCGATGACTGCGACGAATATTGACGTTTGTGTACCTTAATGCTTTTGTGTGGGGCACGCCAACGGCCCAACGCAAACCCCGCCAGGCTTTCTCCCATGCATTTAGAGTGTATTTTGTGCCCATCACCAAACCAAAATGCATTTTAAAGAAAAAGATCTAGGTTTATTTTGGAAATGCGCATTGGCTAGCCCATTATCGAGCAGCCCAACGGCGTTACGGCATAGCGCTACGTCAGCCCAACAAACCCGTTCACCCACGCCACTTCTGACGGCGAGAGATCCGCGCCTGCCGCGTCGAGCAAGTCGAAGACGGAACGCGTCACGCGCCGCACCTCTCGGCCTGTAAGAGCGACGCCTCGAATCGGCGCGCCTCGGCAGCGGCCGCTTTGAGCTGCTGCGGGTCGCCCGACTGTATGGAGCGGACGGCTTGGTAGACGAAAATCTTGAGCTTGGTCGAGTCGGTGACGCTCAGTGCGTTGGCCATCCGGCCCGCTACCTCTTCGACGGTGGCGAGGGGCGGCACGCAGACCAGGTTGCACGGCGCGTCGCTTACGCTCGCCTCCGCCGTCGCGGCTTTGAACGCGCGGGCGGCGGCGACGAAGCGGTCCGCAGGCACCGACAGAAAGGCATCGAGGCCTACGGGCTCGGCGCTCTCGGCTCGGCTCGGTGTGAACACCGCTGCGTCAGGCCGAGCCTGACGCCCTGGCCGGCTCGCCTGTGTCGATGGTCTTCATGATCTCTTTGGGGTCTGCGTGGTCCGGGGAGAGACACGGCGACACGGCGACGGAGCAGGGGCGGGGGAGTGGGGACGGCAGGTCGCCCAGAGGGTCCCGGAACAGGTATTGGTAGGTTTCGCGCTAGTAGTCATTAGTGAACAGACCCCTTCCTTATTTATCCGGGCCCTACCTCAAGAGGTAGGTAGGTAGGTAGAAAGGTGAAGAACAGCCAGGCTCGGACTGGACACCAACGCGGTATGGGTGGACGCTGGACAGATGATGACGACACGCACGAGCGACACACAGACACAAACAGGCTCACAAGACACACAGCCATCTGGCTGCCACACACCCTGAGTCGGCGTACACATAACTCAGGGCCACATCCTCCCTGTCGCCCCCCCCAGCACTCCACGGTGCCAAGGGCACAAACAAGGGCACAACTCAAACAACAGACGACAGGAAGTGACATGTGAGGCTAGAGCAGCTTGCTCCCCGAAGCCTGATTTGATAAAGAAAACAATAACGAATTCGGGCCGCCGATTTTGACCGATGGCATGCAGCTCGGACTCCAAATCATTGCTCGCCGTGCTCACCTTCAGCGTCTCATCGTCGGGACTTCTCCTCGTCAACAAGCTCTGCCTCAAGGAGGTGGCACTGCCTTCGTTTCTCGCCGTGCTTCAGTTCATCGCCTCGGTGCTTTGCGCAGTTGGCATGTCGGCCGCGGGCGCGGCGGACCTTGACCCGCTGGAGTGGCCGCGCGTGCGAATATACTTATTCTACATCGCGCTCTTTGCCACCGCCATCTACTCCAATCTGCAGGCGCTCACACACTCCAACGTGGAGACGCTCATCGTCTTCCGCGCGTGCGGGCCGCTGCTTGTCAGCGTGCTGGAGTGGCGTCTCCTCGGCCGCGCGCTGCCGTCGCGGTGGTCGGCCGTCGCGCTCTCCGGCATCTTTGCCTGCGCGGCTGGCTACGTGGCCTCTGACAACGCATTCGCCATGCACGGACTTCGTGCGTATACGTGGTGCGATTTGCTTCGGCTCCCTCCACCTCCCTCCACCGGCCCGCGCTCGCTGAGGCCTCCGCCCGCTGCTGCAGGTGCGGCGTGTACTTCGTGTCCATATGCCTGAGCGACACGTGCGGCAAGCAGATCATCTCCGGCCTTCGGTGGCGTACGATGTGGGGGCCGGTGAGCCAACGCACACGCAAGCCTTCTCTGCCTACACCAGCCCTGCTCGCCACGCCCGGCATAGCATCCGGAAGGTGTCACTGGCACTTTTCCTGTTGTGATCACAGCATGCGAGGTGCCGAGCACGCCAACCCGCTCTGCCCCTCCGCTCTGCGATCCTCTCACACTTTCGGCTCGGCCCTGTCTCCTCTCTCGCAGGTGCTCTACACCAACCTTCTCGCCTCGCCTGTCATGCTCGCTCTCGGCGTTGCCGGCGGCGAGGCGCCCTCCGCCCTGCGTAGCTGAGATTGCCCGAGATTGCACGAGATTGCCCGAGATTGCCCGAGATTGCCCGAGGCACCCTTCGCCATGCGACGCGGCGCCGCGGTGCAGAGTGTCTGCCGGCCGGGGTCCACGCGTGGCGGTGTGAGCTCACACCGCCTCCCCGCCTCGCCGCCCAATCTCGGGCAATCTCGGGTGATCTCGGGCAATCTCGCAGGTGCCCCGCCTCGCCGCGGCGGCGTGGCGGCCTCGCGGCGTCGCGCTCTATGCGCTCTCGTGCCTCTTTGGCATCGCAATCTCGTTCACCGGCTGGAGGTGCCGCGCCCTCGTCTCCGCGACTTGCTACACGGTGCGACTTGCTGCGTCGCAGAGGAGGTGGCATCGCGCCTCACCTCGCCTCACCTCGCCTCGTCTCGGCGAAGGTGCTCGGCGTCGCAAACAAGATGCTGACCGTGCTCGTCAATGTCGTGTTTGGGCCGAGCACGCGCCGGCCTGCAGCCACTCCACCCTCCCACCGCGACAGCTGCTTGCTTCTCAGGTCGCCATCTGGGAGCACCACGCGACGCCGGAAGGTTTTTTTTCCTTTTTTCCCCCCCCCCCCCCCCCTTCAGTCCCTTCAGTCCCTCCCCCCCCGTGTGGCAGGCATCGCTTGCCTGGCTGGCTGCCTCCTCTGCGCCGCCGCGTACCGCCCCGCCCCGATGCGGCGGAGCGAGGACCAGCTCGCGCGCGGGAGAGGCGACGCCGAGGCGCCGAGGGACGACGACGGGAGCAGTGAGTCGGAGGCGTTTCTGGCCGCCCGCGAGAAGTCGGCAGATTGATTCATCGATTACTTAATCAACCAATCAATTAGGCGCTGCTTGCCGCCCGCGAGAAGTCGAGTGCGCAGCACGCCGCTGCCCAGGCCCGCATGGCGTTGGCGAGCGAGGGGCGACGCAGCAACTACCCGACCAGGCTCTAGTGGTACCAGACCGACGCGACGCCGCGTCCCGCCCCCGCGACTCTCGTCCGCCTTGCCGCTGCCCCCGATAGCGCCGGACCGATGAGCCATGGCACGCACTCTTCTGGCTCTCTCGTGCGATGCCGGAGCCTTGCTGCAGAGAGATTGGTTGTTGTAAGGCTTTTGCGGGATGTGGCGAACCGCCGCCCTCTGTCGCATGTTTCTACAGTTAGCTTCAACCTTCAAGCCGAACCTGGGGGACGGCCTTTTCTTGCACTAGCTCAAACAAACAAACAATGCTCAATGGGCAAACCAGTTAAAAATAAAGAAAGAAAACTCAGCGCAAGGGCAAACGCGGGAGAGTCGTTTTTCTTCTCTGAGGAAGCCGTCGCCCGCGCCTGTCGCGTGAATCGTGTCGTGCGACCGCCTTTTGTGGTAAAATTCTTCTTAGTGTTAGTGCCAGTGTCGTGCGAGCTTGTGGCAAAATTCTTCTCGGACGGCGTCCTTCAGTTTGAGTCGGCCCTTTTAAATGTCCGCCGTGTACGATACCCTCGTCGAGGAGCACCGCCCTCCACGACTAGCAGTACCGGCTCTTCGCAATCGCCACCACGCCGACTCTCGCCGTAGGCTGTGATCCGGCCGCCGCGCGCAGAGTACGAGCCCGAGGCGCTCGGGCCGGCAGAGTTTTCCTACGCCGGTGTGAGCGTCGTGCGGCACGACGTCGAGCTCGTGAACAAGCGGGGACTGCGCCTCTGCGCCTCGCTTTGGCAGCGGCGCGACGCGGTCGGTACACACGGGTGGCCCGCCTGTGTCTACCTCCACGGCAACGCAAGTTGTCGCACGGAGGCGACTCTGGTGGCGAGCGAGGTGCTGCAGCGCGGCGCGGCGCTGTTCGCGTTTGACTTTGCAGGCTGCGGCCTCTCGGACGGCGACTACATCACGCTCGGCCACTTCGAGAAGGACGACGTCGAAGCTGCCGTCACGTGGCTCCGCACCGTCGCGGGCGCGGGGGCCGTCGCGCTCTGGGGGCGCAGCATGGGCGCGACGTCTGCGCTGCTGCACGCGGCGAGGGACGGCTCGCTCGCCGGGCTGATCTGCGACTCGCCCTTCTCGAGCGTCGAGGCTGTCTCCCTTGAGGTGGTCGCGCGCGCACACACTCACTCACTCACTCACTCACTCACACACACATACACACACACAAACACACACACGCACACACACACACACACGCACCGCACCGGGCCTTGCACCTTCAATGCTGTGGGGCGCCTATCTTTTAGACGTGGCGCCGCGAGCGGAGGGCCATCCTCCCCTCGCCCCTCCTTAGGTGGTCAGCGAGGGGCCGGGCGGGATGGCTCGATGGCTCGCAGAGCTAGAAGCGGGAAAGACGCACTCACAGACATGCACATGCACATGCACATGCTGTGCATGTGCATGTGCTCCAAAACTAGCACTGCATTCGTGCCCCTCGACTTCCCCGCCCCCCTGAGGTTGGCGCAACAATGCATCGTGCAGGCTCGCGAAGCTCGCCCTCGCCGCCGTCGCGCACTTCGTGCACAAGCGCACCGGGTTCGATATGTACAAGTGCCGCCCTGTGGACGCCGCCAAGGCTTGCACACGCACGCTCGGGGGGACAGACATTCTTGAGACTCCCGTGGGCCCTGTGTCGTGCACGAGAGAGATCGGCACAGGCACACGCCAACACACTCAAACCGCTCACCCACGCGCACCGGGCCTCGCCACTTTGAATGTGCCGTGCGGCTCCTGTCGTCAATAGTCGTGGAGACGCGAGGGACTAGCCTGGCCCTTGCCCTACAGTATACCACCTTGTGTGTGTGTGTGGAGAAGTGTACCTCCCCTTATTTTAGGCCTGCACGGCGCCGCTCCTCATCGCGACGGCCACCGCGGACACCGTCGTCCGGCCTCACCATTCGGAGGCCATCTACGCCGCCTACGCCGGTGCGGCTCAGAGCACACTCCCCCCCACTCCACTTCGCACACGCTCGCGTGTGCCAGACCACTCCTCCACGCGCCTCCTCTCCGTCGACGAGCCCTCTCACAACCACGCCGCATAGAATACGCCGGTGCCCCCCCCCCCCACCCCCCCGTTTACCCAAGCGCACCGGGGCTTGCACTTTGAAAGCCGTGGGGCTCCTGGCTTTGGACGAAGAGGGGTGGGCGGCCCTTGCCCCCCCACCCAATGTGTGTGGGTGTGGAAAAATGTCCCTGACCGTACCTCAGGGTCGCCGGGAGCTTGTCGCGCCCCACTCGGAAAAGGGCGAGCTCTTCACCGCCATCGACCGGATCTCGTAAAACCTGCCGCCGGGGGGGAAAAACGGCCGCGCGCTCTTTTCCCAAAGCAAAGGCGGCGGCCGCAGCCGCCGCAGCTGCCGCCGCCGCGGCCGCCGCCGCTGCCGCCGTTGCCAAGGCCGCCGTTGCCAAGGCCGCAAACTGCCCAAGGGCCTGCGGAAGAACCCCCCCAACATCCACA